TTTTTTGTTTTGACAGTTTGGCACTAGGGAGGGTCTGACAAGTCGCTAAGTTGGCAACGCTGGCTGGTAGTGTCTTTGATTGAACTGAAGCGCTCACATCTCGCGCATGTGCAGATGTGAGCGGAAGGAATGTTCCATTATTTTTGGGGGTCCCCGGTTTTAAAAAGAAGTAATAACATTAAAATCTTAACAGTTTTAGACAGATTTTACAACATACGATAGAAAATGTAAAAGAGATATGATTAATATAGGCTTTTTGGCATTGGTTGGACCCTAAGTGGCTGCTTAGCTCGCTTATTGGTTAAGTCAGCCCCTGAATACATATAAATATACATATGTTTATTAAAAAATTACATTATAAAACTTTCAAGGAGGGGGGTAGCACGTTCGCCTCACAGCAAGAAGGTCGCTGGGTCGCTGGTTCTAGTTGGCGTTTCTGTGTGGAGTTTGCATGTTCTCCCCGTGTTAACGTGGGTTTCCTCCAGGTGCTCTGGTTTCCCCCACAGTCCAAACACATGTGGTAAAGGTGAATTGGGCAGGCTAAATTGTCCATAGTGTATGAGTGTGTGTGTGTGGATGTTTCCCTGAGATGGGTTGCGGCTGATCAGGCATCCGCTGTGTAATAACTTGCTGGATAAGTTGGCGGCTCATTCCGCTGTGGTGACCCCGGATTAATAAAGGGACTAAGCCGACAAGAAAATGAATGAATGAACTTTTAAGGACTTAAGATGCTGACTATTACACATGTCATAACATTCTTGTGAAAAGGGTCCATTATTCATCCAATTTAGCACGATTTGCTCATCCACCAATGACGGGTGGGTTTAGGGGTGGGGTTTGGTGCCACGCCTTCTTTTTTTGGACAAATTCGAACATGACTGAACTCATACGAATCAGCCGCTACACTGACAAAATGTAAAAGAGTTACGTTTCCTGGTGAGATCGGGCTGGAAACTCAAGTTAAAACAAAACAGAAAAAATACAAATAAAAAAAGAAGAGTCTCTGAACAAGCCGTGAAGTACCTGTCGAGATGTTGGACAGTATTTAAAAAAAAAAAAAAAGATAAACTCTTTCTGATCAGCACAACCGGAGGTTTCGCGGGAGATCGAGTGTGTTTTATCGAAGGTGCTAAAGAGGAGACATGCCTGCCTTGTAGTCGACTTGTAGCTTTTGGTAACCTGGTTCACTCCGACTGGTATTCAACATTTTGTGAATGTTGATTCTGACACGAGTCATTTGAATAAGTGTGTTAATATCATTTTCATTCTATTGTATTCAGAGTCTTTATTTGAGGGAGATGCTTATGTACAGATGTGTATAAAATAAGACGAATAAAACTTTGTTTCATAGCCTGCGTCCTGGCGGATCTTCTGTTGCAGACGGGAACGCTGCTCTGCTCTGTATCTTCTATGGCTTGGCCGTTTGACATGACTAGTGAGGTGAGGTTATTAGCTTATTATAACTATAGTTGACTAAAACTACTTGTGTTTACTGATTGTATTTTACAGATACAGGTTGACGGTTGTTCTTAGTTGATCTTAAAAGTAATGAAATGATTATTTATCAGAGTAGTACACACACTGTCAAAAATCCTGGGTTTCACACAATCGATTGGTGTTGTTGGGACAACATGAAAGATTTAAGTTAGCTTATTAGTTTTTACTAAATTAAATGGATTGAACATAAAACAATTAAGTTGTTCCCAAAAAAAAAACTCAAGAACTGCTGTTTCAGCTCATCTCAAATAAATAGTTTGAATGAACAGCAAACTTACACACTACCTGACAGAAGTCTTGTTGTGGATCTCGGTTGTAAGAGCAGCAATAATAACTTGACGTCTAGTTGATCGTGTGTTAAAGTGTCAGAAGGTGGATTTCTCTGCTGAATCATCTGCTGATCTGCATCATCACCAATACTGCAGAAGACCTACTGGAACCAGCATGGACAAAGATTCTGATAGAAATCAGTCAAGTTTGGTGAAGGAGACATCATGGTTTGGGGTTCATCATGCGAGAGATCTGCAGAGTGGATGATCAACATCAACAGCCTGAGGTATCAAGACATCTGTGCTGCCCATTACATTACAAACCACAGGAGAGGGACAATTCTCCAGCAGGATAGCGCTCCTTCTCATACTTCAGCCTCCACATCAAAGCTCCTGAAAGCAGAGAAGGTCAAGCTGCTCCAGGATTGGCCAGCCCAGTCACCAGACATGAACATTATTGAGCATGATGAAGGAGGAGGAGGCATTGAAGATGAGTCTTGATGAGCTCTGTGAGTCCTGCTGAAGGCTTTCTTCTTCATTCCAGATGACTTTATTAATCAGTGATGTGAGTCATGTCAGAGATGTATGGATGCAGTCCTCCAAGCTCATGATGGAGTCAGACACAATATTCATTCTGTCTCCACTGCAGCAGGACTTTATATTACAACATATAATATACAATATAATGATTTAACAATATAATAAGATGCAGTATTTAAACTGTACAGTGATTTTATTTTAGATTTGTTTTTCATTTGCAGTACAGTTTCATTTGTGTATCTTTAAATGAGGAGAAATGAATAATGTCATTTTTCCTGTTTAGAATTGAACTGAGCCTTTAATTGTCATTTATAAGGGATTTATAAAGCATAAACAGTCCACACTTTAGATTAGCTCGCAAAACTGCATGAAGTTGAGTTAATAAAGCATTTATTAATATGCATAGTGACCATTAATATATGCCTGAATAATAAGACATATAAACTTTGATTTCAGTAGTTTATTAATCATTTTCTAACTCGTTCTGAATGATCCTAAAAACCCTCGACTACTCTTAAATACAACTGGCTTGTAAATAATAGGATACTTAATTTAGTAATGAAAAATAAATCATTAACAGAGTATGAAAACACAAGTATTAAGCACATTGTAAATAGGTTTGTAAGTCAAGAATGCAGCATTTGTAGCTGCAGTTATAAACTGCTTAATAATGTAGAGTTAATGCCTAACAGATAATGACTTCACTAGATGCTAATGATTAATAAATGATTTATAGTGTGTAGTTATTATGGTGTTACCGAAATACCTTTATGTCATTATCTGTACACATTTCATTTCACTGTTTACATTTGTTAATTTTGGTTAACATTTTGGTAAATTTACATGTGTTTGTGTCATTTCCACAGGGATATCAGTACTTTTTTTATTGATTGATTTTCTGTATTTTATTTAATTGTTTAGCTTGTGTAACTTGATATATTAAAATGACTAAAACTGAAATCAAATTAATATTAATAAGCAGACAGTATATCACATGGATCTCATGTATATATCACACTGAAACCATGATCGCCTTACATTTTCAAGCTGAATCAAAATAACCCTGTGAATAAATTGAACTTGCGTTAAACTGACTTAAAACAGCTTACTTAACTTATAAAATTAAGTTAGTGTAACCCCGCCAGTCCTACACCACCCAACCCGCTCCGGGCTGGGATCAAACCGGCGATTCCCCGCATGGGAGTCAGTTGCTCTACCAAGGAGGCTGGCCTCTATACATTAGCACATGACTAACTTAGTTTAATAAGCTGCAATGAACTAAAATCATATAACTGATCGTATTGACTACTTTTCTCAGCAAGTGCTCAAATACTCATTGATAATCTATCAGTGAATATTGTAGATGAACTTAATGCATTAACAACAATCCTGACTCAAATAAATTGAGCAGAAATAAACGTTAAACATCAAATGAAGTCAGAAGATTATGTCGGAGACACTAAAATAACACAACCACATCACATTAATCGCGATTATGATGTCAGAGAGCTGCTATTTTTCCTCCAGAATGGGCTCTCAATTGTTTTTCATCACTAATAATTTCCAGAAAGGGCGTGACGTCATCTCAGAAGTTCTTCTTTGGTGAATTATTTGCCTTCTTGAAAATGAATCATGTCTCGTGTCAGAAGTTTATAAACTCCCACCAAGACCAACGGAGGATTTGTAATCTGTTGGAGACTGTGTATGAACGTTATTACAGTGTGTGTGCGTGTGTGTGATCAGATTATTAACGGATGCTTCTTCAAATCAGAACAAACGCAGCAGATTTTGTTTACAGTTGAACTTATTAACCCCAAAACTGATTTATTTTACCTTCACCATAATGACAGCACATAATATTAGACTAGATATTCTTCAAGACACTAGTGTTCAGCTTAAAGTGACATGTAAAGGCTTCACTAGGGTAATTAGGGTAAAGTTAGGGTAATTAGGCAAGTCATTGTATAACAGTGGTTTGTTCTGGAGACAATCCAACACTAATATTGCTGAAGGGGCGAATAATATTGACCTTTAAACCTTTAAATGACTTTAAAACTATTAAAAACTGCTTTTATTTTAGCCGAAATAAAACAAATAAGAACAAATATTAGAGGAAATACTGTGAACAATTCCTGAATCTGCTCAACGTCATTTGGGGAATATTTGATAAAGAATAAAACACATACACACACACACACACACACACACACACACACACACACACACACACACACACATATATATATATATGTATATATATATATATATATATATATATATATATATATATATATATATATATATATATATATATATATATTTATGTGTATGTATGTAATTATGTATGTATGTATATATATATATATATATATATATATATATATATATATATATATATATATATATATATATATAATGTAGAATGTGTGTTAAATCAGGGAAAGTTGTGTCACTCATTCACTCAGTAAACCGCTGCGCTTCAGATGACACACTTCCAGGTATTCATGAAAAGTATTGAGAGTTTGTGGTGATGTTGTTTTAGTTCTGAATGAAGTGAAATTACAGTCTGTCACCCTGATGATGAGCGTGTGTGTATTCCAGTTTTGCTGCAGTGTGTGTGTGTGTGTGTGTGTACAGTGATTGACAGGGACTCCCCCTCTGTCTTTAAAATCCTATAAGACCAAGCAAACACAC